TCTGCTGCCTCGCCAAGCTCTTTCTAATTTCTGGCATTCACATCTCAAGATTCACTATCATACAACAAAACAGGTTTAAAATAATATTACAGTACAACCACTCTGACATTCACATGTGGTTATCATACAGAAAGTTTACCCGCATTGTTATGCATAACATAAAAATAAAATATGACTTTTCACTGATTAATTGAGCTTTATTTTGAAACTCTCAATAAACTATCCTTTATCATCAATCTGTAATCTTAAACTCTTAGAATATATGACAAATGTAGGAATGTTTTCAATTTTAATTACATATCCACAATGTAAGGGAATTCAAGCTGTCATGTATGTCTATGATCTGGCACTTCTGAGTTCAGAGGAGGATACTGATAAAGTACAGACAAAGCATCAAGAATCCCTCAGAACTCTAGAGAAGTGGTCCAATAGTTGGTCCATGCCTGTAAATGGGGCCAAAACCATACACACCATTTTCATTCTACCAAACCCCAGAAAGTTTCACTTTCATGTGACAGCCAGGCACTGAGAAATGATGATTCACCGTCATATTTAGGAGTAACCTTTGACCCAAGACTCACGTAGAGAAAACAGAAAAGACACAGAGCAAATGACTCAAGAGAACCCAACTGATGAGGAAGTTAGCTGGAACAGACTGGGGGGGGGGGGGGGGGGGGCAAACCTTAGTGTCCTTAAGGGGACCTATACAGGCTATGTAAGGCCAACACTCGAATATGGGATAGCTGCTTGCAGCACAGCAGCTAAATCAAATTTTCAGAAAATCTCAAAAATCCAAAACCATTCTCTCCATATTATGACAGGGGCAATGCGCTCCACCCCCACATCAGACATGGAAACAATTACTGGTCTCCATGATCTGGAAGATGGGAGAGACACAAAGCTTCTCACGCAGCTCTCCAAATAACACCACTGTAAAGGACCCATACACAGTCAACTGCAGAAACCCGAGAAGGCTAGACTAAAGAGAACCTGTTTTATTAAGAACGCAAATGCCAAGCTCGCTGTCCTCAAACTCTAACAATACCAAATGTTCCATTGAAACCTTACAATCACTGCCCCCCTTGGCTTAAGAATAGCCTGCCAACAGTCAGAACTACTCTAACAGGGATCTCCTCCAAATCATCAATGAGCAGCACTGATACGAAATTAATTACAGAAGGAGAGATGAACAGACTTTATCCATACCAGAGTGTATACAGATGGTTCAGTCAAGAGAGCAGTAAGAGACGGAGGAGGAGGAATATACATAGGAGGCCCAAATGATTTAAAAATCAACCAGGCTGTACCAACAGGTTCAGTTTCCTCCAATTACAGAGCAGAGGCAAAGCACTTCTGACAGCATGTTCTTTTCTGAATGGACAACAGCACAGCAAATATAGCAGAGTGGTCTTTCTGACTGATGCTATGTCAGTTCTACAAGCAATTGTTTACCCAAAAGACACTCAGTTTGTAGACTTCATGCAACAGCTGATTCACTTAGGCTCTTCAGTAGAACAATCTGTACTGCAGTGGATTCCCGGTCACTGTGGTTTGGAAGGCAATGAGATAGCCGACAGATCTGCCAGAAGCAGCAGTGACATGGTACAACCAAACAGTGACTTAACCCACCAAGAGACGAAAACATTAATACAATCTAGCATCCAAGAAAGGTGGCTGGATACACACACCAGATTCTCTCCCCAAGACTCGCTTCATCGCCTCTCTAGAGAGGGACAGTGTATTATATTTAGACTAAGGACAGGGCACAACAGATTTCGTCAACATATGTTCAAATTTTTCGGTGAAGGAAACACAGAGATGTGTCCCTGCAGTGTGGCACCCGAAAATGCTGAGCATGTGCTCCAACACTGTCAGTTGTATGCTGACAACAGAGACGCAATCTGGCCTATTCCAATGACAATGAAGACAAAGCTGTATTGTACACAAGAGGATATGAACTGCACGATAGCTTTCATAAGGGCTACTGGCCTCCTGATATGTTTTCTGACAGAGGGATCTAAGAAGAAGAAGACTTCAAAAAAAGTTAAATCAACAATCACTTCAAATAAATTTATATCAACAATCACTTCAAAAAAGTTATATTAACAATTCCTTCAAATAAAGTTATATTAACAATCACTTTAAATAAATTTATAGTAAAAATCACTTTAAATAAATTTATAGTAAAAATCACTTTAAAAAAGGTTATATTAACAATCACTTCAAATTTAGTTATAGTAACAATCACTTCAAATTTAGTTATAGTAACAATCACTTCAGATTTAGTTATAGTAAAAATCACTTCAAATAAGGTTATATTAACAATCATTTCAAATATAGTTATAGTAAGAATCACTTCAAATAAAGTTATATAACAATAATATTCTTCTCATTGTCCTCTTAAAGTTCACCAGCTGTGCACTCCTGCAGACAGTCCTGGGTGTTCGTCCACCTCTAGTCTTGTTCCAGAACTTGAGTTTTTAGTGCACATCCATTTTACAGATCTGGATTATTTGCATGCAGACTGTTGGTTCCTCTGCTCTCAGGGGTATGTGGCTAGACTTCACAGAAAACACTAGAATCAGTCATCCTTTACAATATGCTTGTAGTGGGGAAGTGTTGTGGGTGGGTGGGGGGAGGAGTATATATCCTAGTTTTCCGCAAAATAGGGCCTCAGAACCCACATAGGGATGTACACAATAATTCCTTCTTTTCCATAGTGACACAAACTGTACGAACAATGCATATATATTCAAACAATTTATAAAGCAAAGATAAAGGACTCCTTCCACACCACTGATATATTGAGCATATGGTGTTAGATACATGTTTTTATACAGCAATTTGCTTAGCACTGGCAATGTGGTCAATACCATGCTGGCTGCCTGTATTTCCAAGGACACTTTCTTTGTACCCATTTTAGACTTGGTCGACATGGAAGCTATGATCATTTATAAAAATTTGCTTCAATGTGGATTTAAATCGTATACAAAAGTAAGCTGTACAAATTAATTTCAACAGAAAATCATTTAGCAGACCATATTTGTGAATTTCTTGTTAAACTTCTTTTTAAACTGCACACTTGATAAATCAATCAAACCTATTCAATATCAAATTATAAAGATGAATAGTACTCAAATGGGTTAGAATGAAGTGAATGTAACAGACCTGAATAATGAATTATAATGCCTGTGAATTACTGGAAAACAAAAGATAAGTAAATCAAAGCAATGTTTCCCCATGGTGAATTTGAACAAAGAAGACACAAACAATAGATTGCACAATTTATTGCCTGGCATAATTTCACTGTATCTTGTCAGGGTGCCTACTACAGTAACAATTGATTCAAATGAAGCAAATAAGTGAATCTTTCTAACCGAAACACAAAAGTGACTACATTCAAGAGCTATTTCATCAGGGCAAATGCAAGGTGAAGACCATGCCACTTAAACACACACATACATGCACACATACACACACAATTTCTTTTTAAACATATTCTAGCCATTTCCACACCGCCTCAGTGATGACATCAGGAGTGGCCCGTACCTCCCTTCCTACACCACTGCGGGGCAGATATGTACTATGTGCTCAGCCTGCGGTATGGCAGGTACACTGTGTAGACTGTGCATAGTTAGTTAGCTGACAGATAATCCTCACTGCACCTGGAACATTTCAGTCTATAGGTGCTTGGATCCCCTCCTCAGTAAATCCCACAGCGTGTAGCATCTGTTGGCACCACTTCTGTGCTGGTTTCTTATTCTTCTTTGTCTTCCTGCATAGTGCTCTTGTCTGCTCACACCCCTTTTAACATGCAGTTTTTGCAGTCTGGTCATGGTTGCAGGTTTATTCACCACTTGGTTCTCGCGAATGTCATACTTCTTGTAGAGCATCCAGTAGTCTACGTCTCCTGTTCCATCTGCGACCCCCTGAGAGATGTCCTTGCCAAAGTGTCATGAGGCATTTTGCAGACATTTGCAGACATGTCCAAGCAATCTCCATAATATTATCTATATAAATATTTCCTGGATTTGTATACACTTTTAAGCTTTCTTTAATATTTTTGCAATTTAAAAAAAAAAATTTTTATTGCACAACATTCACTGTATAAATAAAATAAATCAGTATCACATGCAGTGATTGCAACTTAAAAGGGTTTATTAAAATTCACAGCCTGATTTTACTACAATTTGTTTGTAACATGAAAAGTTTCATTTACTACGAACAGAAAAATCTTCATTAAAAATATTACATTATCAAACACAATTGTAAATAGAATGTAGACAAAGCACAAAATTAAATAAATAGTGAAGGGAAATCACTCTTTTTTTACACTTTGAGGCATGCTAGGTATATGGTGCTAGCCCCATATTTTGGCTGACCCATTAGCACATTTCTTCTTCTTCTTGTGATTTATATGAAAGATGTGTTCTTGTGATAAAACTCACTTTTTTTTTTTTTTAGTTCCATACATCTTTGTGTATGTTGTTGACTCAATAGGCATTATTCTCTTATTAATGGGCTGCACAAGGAAAGACCTGCAGGATATGTTCTGCAGGTTGCACACCAAAGCCACATGAGCAACAATGGTGAACTACTTGGATGATTCCCGTGCATATGCTTGTTAAGTTTATTATGCCCTGTCCTGAGGTGTAAAATAATTAAAGTTAACTTGTGTATCCTTTACAGGACGCTGCAGAACCGACCCCAGCATTTTTTGGCTATTAAGATTTTCCTAGACAAATTTTACATCAGTGGTTTGCCATTGCTTTCTGAACGGTCAAATTGTCCGCAGCTGCGGTCGAACCCGGTACGTCGGTAGAATAAATACCTGTTCAAAATTAAGCCATCCACCATTATCTCCAAGAACATTTCCTGGTACCTACATTATGCCCCGGTTAATTCTGAAAAAGAAATACCCCCAACAACAATGGAAATTCAAAACGTGATCACTGAGTCAATAGATAATCATGATCACTCTGCATGTAAAATTAACCAAATTAATGCTTTCTTTCTGATCTTTTTGTGGTTGTGAACAGGACATCCTTGGTACTTACTGAGGGGTTTTTGTCACTTGAACTATAAGGAAGGAATTAAAAACAAATATTGTTAAATGGTCACCTACACAATACAAGAAGACTTAGCAATTTACTCCTCCCCCAACAAACACAAATATTTAGTAAATAACTCAAGCATTATTTTCCCCTGAGAATCATGTGGCTCAGGCTCAGGAGTTAAACTGTTATCCTCACACAGAAAAGAAAGAAGTTGAACCTCACTAGGACCACACATTTAGCGATTAATACTCAGTGACGCAAAGTGCTACTATTTGGATGAGACCCCCCCACCCCACCCCGCCGGTACAAATCCCAGAAACCGCCTACAACCACAAAGTTGTATTGTGGCCCCCGACAGTTACAAAGTAACTTGAAGTCCAAACAGGGTAAGGCATATGTATATCCTCAAACCTCCTGTGACATGAGTTTTATTATCTGAAAACCCTAAGAATATGCGTCTTACCAGAGGTTACAGAAAAATTCCTAGCCTGCACTGTATGTGTACACCTATACTACTACCTACACTACTCACTGCACCTAACCCAAAATCACAGTACACGTTGCAAAACTCAACTTAACTCTGACACAGTAGACATTGTGACACTCAACTTAACTCTGACACAGTAGACATTGTGACACTCAACTTAACTCTGACACAGTAGACATTGTGACACTCAACTTAACTCTGACACAGTAGACATTGTGACACTCAACTTAACTCTGACACAGTAGACATTGTGACACTCAACTTAACTCTGACACAGTAGACATTGTGACACTCAACTTAACTCTGACACAGTAGACATTGTGACACTCAACTTAACTCTGACACAGTATAAATAAACCTGGTCATGTCAGTTTATACATTTAAAATGTTATTCTGGAAAAAGCAAAGAAAAGTTGAACATTATATGCAACCATCCGGAAAAAAACCAGATTTTTAAAAACTGATATAAAGAAGAAAACAAAATAACACTGGATAACATTATGATGACTTAACAGATCAGAGGTAGAAGAAACAGATCGAGAGAAATGTTGCTGGATGATCTCAGATGATGGCATGGAGGCAGGGCTTTTTTTCTGGCGGTTTGCAACAGTTTGTAGTTCCGGCACCTTATTTTCAGGTATATTTTTTTTCTACAGTGCTACTGTAATAGGCACTTTGTGGTGAGTACAAGCACCTTTTAAGGTGGTCAGAACTGGCATCTTTTTTTTTTCTATGGAGAAAAAAAAAGCCCTGCATGGAAGAATATCTTCAATATAATTTTAGAGATAAGAACTGAGAGGGACCCACTGTGGTGTAGTGGCTAGATGGCCACCTGCTGGTCTATAACTCTAGGGTACTAATATTCATCAAAGGACTTTTTAAAAAAGATGTCCTGGGAAGTAAAAGCAGCTGCTGACGACATCATCCATCGAGTACTGAATAATCTATAAAAATTTAGGTCTAGCCCTATGTGCCCAATGTGCCAAAGGCATGAAAAGATTACTTTAAGAACTTAGGTCTTCAGAGGATATGAATGCCTACACACTTTTGTAAGGCATGCTATAATGATTGTGTCATATATTTCCTTCTTCTTCTTCTGATTTTTATCACCCTGTGGAGCACAGACTTTCAAAAAGTCATCAGCTGGTTAGTTTCTGTGGCTATAGTCTTACAGGATGAGTTAGTCAACCTCCAGCTGAACCTTACTCTTCGTCGCTTCTCACAACACACCTGGTGTTACTGTTCTTTGCTTTCCCTAAGAGCCCTGGTAACACAGGGACAAATAAAGAAATGCTAAAGTAAAGTAAGTAAAGTTTTTATGTCTTTAGGCAAAAAGGGCATACAGTGCTTAACCAATATTTTATAGACCAATCAGCGCTCGGTCAGTGATGTGGTCAACATAGGGCCAGCAGCTTCAACTTGCCAGGACATTAACTGGTGCCCACTTAAAGCTAGGTCAACCTAGGAGCTACGGTCATTTTTTTTTAAAAGTCCGGCTCTTTCTAGTTTTGAACTCACTTACTTTTGGATCAGCAGCCAAGCTTCTAGTCGCTACACCATGGTGGCACCCAGAATAATGTAAAGGACCCTTTATATACCACTGGGGCATTAGGCATCTTCTTCTTTTTCTTCGTGGTCACCAGCCATAAACACGGGCGGAAAGTTCTGGCTGTTTATCCATTTCTGGACTTTGGTCTTGTTCCAGAACCTGAGTTTTGTGTATATGTTCATTTTACAGTTATGTCTTATATATATGCAGACTGTTGGTTCCTTGCCTCTCTGGCAGATGCATTCTGACTTCAAAGAATACACCCTTAATTGTCACCTTTTACGACAAAACTTGTTAGGGGAGTAGTGGGCATGTATTGTTCTTTCCCCCAAAGTAAGGCCATGGAAGCCACATGCTGTAGTCAACATGACAATGACCACCTTTATTTCCCAAGACATTACCTGATACCCACTTTAGGCCGGGTCAACAAAGGAACCAAAGTCAATTAAAAAAAACATTCTCAAGACCTTCGAGTCTGACATGAAACACAAGTGAATATTTTTATAACTTAAACACAAATTGTTTAATGTAAACAATTATCCATGGCACTTACTTTGGTTCTTGGAGGTTCTCGCTTACTGCATTAGCTGTGCGTAAAATAATGTCTTTGTGTGCAGCTTTCATATGGCGTATAAGCGTAGATTCGCAGGCGTACTTGCGATTACAGTGGCCACATGTCAGATGACAGTTTGGTGTGTGAGCACGCCGAACATGTCGGTTGAGGTCACCTGCAGGGTCAAGATAAAAATGAATAAATAAAGCAGCTGCAGAAGGCAAATTTTCTTCTCTCAAAAGACAAAACAGACATCCTAAAGTCCTTTGTCACAATACCTCATTAGTTGGAAAAAAAACTTTTTATTAACTCTTTTGGTCCCAAGCAATGCCTGGTGTGTGAATGAATCTACCCCTAGATTCCCCTCCACAGTTTAATATGCTCACTTACTTTTACCATTTAGTCAAAACATACTATAGAAATCTGGCTTTCCCCATCGGTGACTACAACTACGTGTATTGCCACTTTAAAAATAGATTATCATCATAATTATTTAGTCACCTTGGTAACTCCTGAAACTTTCGGGTACTGAAAGAGTTTAACAATTTGCTCTATTTAAATAATGCGGATACAACCAATACATTGCACAATTTATTGCCACGCATATTTCGCTGTATCTCATCAGGTGCGTTACTACAGAGTTACATCAACATAAAATAAAGCACAAAACTGAATAACTTCAACTGAAATGCGAATAGTTTCTTCGATACATTGTCTCTGTTTCATGACCGCCGGAAGCTCACCGTAGTTACGTGACTACCACGGTAACTTCAAATGTACAATAAATTCCGTCTGCTTACAAAGGAGGGGAATGTTGATTTTTATTGTGATGGCTTTGGCGATTCTCAAAAGTCTCCTGTTTGGAGTGTGGTAAACCACACGGAAAGTAGTGTCTGTGTCAATTATGTGTCTGGAATTTTTTGCATTTCAGTTGAATTTATTCAGTTTTGTGCTTTATTTTATGTTGATGTAACTCTGTGGTAACGCACCTGATGAGATACAGCGAAATATGCCTGGCAATAAATTGTTTGTATCCGCATTATTTAAATTCATTACGGGAAAACTTTGTTTTGAATTTGCTCTATTATTTTTCGGTTCCATTCTAAAGACTTGTTCATGATATCGCTGGATATTGCAGATAAAGTTTTCTACAGGGTGAGAAAACCTGATCCATCGGCTGCTGGTCTAATATGGTTCAGAGACGGACTGACTGTTTTAGTTTTGGCAAGTTTTTGCTTCTAGAAATAGTTGACTGTTGCATTTTCCCCTGTTCATGGACTGAAAGTATACAGCTCTGTCGTTCAGCTACTGAGCTGAGTGCATGACTGACAGATTTCCTTTGGAATGTTTTTTTGACTGCACCCAATGTGGTCCATGTTTTAAACTGCAGATTCAGAAAACAGTGAGAGCAACTGCTGATCTGTTGCAATTTCTACTGCCATCAACAAAGAACTACAGTTCTAGTGGTGAACTGTTTGTGCTGGCCCTTCTGATGGCTTCTTTAATGCGAATCTATGCTGTCGGCTTTGCTGAGACCGCTGTCTGTTTTTCACAAGGGACAGTGATAGACAACATACAGTGTGGTTTTTGCCAGCACAGGGACATAGTAACTGTAAAGTGAAGCTGGAACTGTGATTAACTGGTTAATAACCAGACCTATGTCAACCCTCCTATGGTGTTACTATTCTTTTTGGTTTTGTTAAAACATCTTTACTTTTAAAGTTAACATACAAACAACACATTAAAAATGACAATTTTGAAACGTTATTGATTTCAACACTACTATACAGCATAGATACCTGAACAATAGGCAATTAGAAATTTGAACTAACCATATGGGTTAGAGGGTACCATTCTAGAGATAAGAATAGACATATTGCCTCCCTAACAAGTATGTCGCAAAAGAGGACTCATTAGGGTTACTGCCTTCGAAGTCAGAGTGATTCTGCCTGAAAAGGCAGAGAACCAAAAGTCTGCATACACAAAAATTAAATGGAGAGTGTGACTAGCAAAACCTGCTCATGTTAAGAATAGTCTTCCACAATTAGAACATAAGATTCCAGGACCATTGATGCCATAGCATGTAAAAGAATGACATGCAAAATTCAGGTCCATGAACAAAGCCAGTCTAGAAATTAACGAACAACCAGGACTTTCTGCCGGGTTTACAGCCAGTGAACATGCAGACAGACAAACACTGTGGAGAAAACATCTGACTGATTAAAAAACCTCTTCAAGTTTACATTTGAATCCTTGCAACAAAAAGCATTTTACCAACAAAAAAACTGCAAACAAGTAATACAAACTGTCTAACAATGATCTTGAAAAAAAATTCACCTGTCTGAAAGAACTTCTTCTCACACATGGAACACTTGAAAGCTTTATCTTTGTTATGGAACCTCATGTGAACTACCAAGTCACTACGTCGAATATAGCCTGCGTTAAGAATTAATACAATTTTTATAAGGGGATAAACGTATTTTCAAAATATTGTATGACATACCAAACTACTGGATGTAACTTGCCTAGAGAAACCACACAACAGCCAGGGGCTGTTAGGGTTGGTTCTGCAACGTCCTGTAAAGGATACGCAACTAACTGTATGACATACATACAGGGCAGAGGCCGACCTCTGCGAATATGGATACAAGACACTGAGGATGCACTAGTTTTGAAAGCACAAGGGGCTGGAAAATTGGCTAGACAAAGAGAGACTTTTAGGCATGCCATGAAGAGAGCAATATTCTGAGTGGAACTGCTGTCTGATGATTAACCTGGCATAACTTTGCACGCAAAAAGATAATGGAAGCAAGAAAAGTTATACACAGTATAAACGAATGAATGAATCAAGAACTGACATCTCACTGCACTCGGGACATTTTCATATGTGCTCTAATCCCATTCTTACTCTCGAATGAAGAGTCCCTATACTGATGATGCAAGATGCAACCTGAGTGAGAGTTCACATGCTTTTCCCCTGGGGGATAACAGGTTGTCCAGACCCTCTGTTTATTCCTAGCTGAATCATTCTCTCCAGATATGGATGATCTATCCGATCCCTTGCACTGTTTACTTGATCTCAAGCAGCTTTCACCATGTCCATTTTATCATAATGTAGCTCACCAGCCAGAGGGGTGGCAGCAGCCAGTCAATCAGTCTGCTCATTACCACCCACAGCCGAATGTCCTGGGCAAACAATCCATGAAATGCTTCTGATCTGAGTCTTACAAAGTGATACAAACCACTCTGAGTGCAAGACACCAGTTTCTATTTTCCGAAGCATATTCTGCAAGTCCATTACAATTACAACATTTTGGGCTGTACTGCTTTCCAGCCATCGGAAAGCTGTTGTTCTGCTCCCACCTCCATTCTCACGCAATGTGAAATTATATGTGATATCTTTTCTAAAAAAAAAAAAAAATCAATTCACCAAAATGCCCATACACAGGACCTGAGAAAAAAAACACAGGTGTCACCATTTTATAATAATAAATTGGAAAATTTCAACATTTTGAAACATTTCATGAAATGTTATAAAATATTTGTATTTCAAGCAAATAGCATTTTCCTCTCCAACCTTTGCCACACTTTTCACAACGATGAGGCTCTTGTTTGGCATGGATCAGTAGGTGGCGCTTCAGATCACAACGCTGAAGGAACTCTCTGCCACAATCACTACACTTGAACACATTCTGGCTCTGGCAAATGTAACAAAGAAGAACAAATATAGAATCAATACAACTACTAAAAAGAAAAGATGTGATAACTGCAATTTTATTTGGATTAAATCTGAAAAACCATGCTTAGTTGTAGAAAACACATATGAATGAAATTACAATTATAATTAGAACATAATAAATCTTGAAACTAATCAGTCATAAAATTACCACCAGTCTCTTGTCACACTGCCCCATCCATAGTTTAGGAGGCATCAATGTCCAGCATACCTTCATCTAAATAGTTTTTCTATTGTAACATTATTTTTCATTTTACTGTATTATTTTCTTTGCTTATTTTATTTTATTGTATTTCATATTATTATTTTACTCAATCTCTTATCAGTACCAGTTTTGGATCATTAACATTTGTATTTCTACTACACTTTTTCCTACTATTATTATATATTATCAATATAACTTTTATGACTATTTTTTTAGCCCTCCATTTTATTATATTTTATTAATTCCACTTCACCTTTTTATATCTCTCACGTGAACTCTTGGTGGTCGCTGGTGGTTGCAGTACTCTCCCCATTGTTTCTGTTGTGTAGTTTAGTTCAGGTCGAGAGGTCGATTTGTTTGTTTTCTGCACGTTGTTCTGCTTCCCCATTTAGTTAACTTTTTAGTTATAGTTCACTGGATTGACTTCTATCACAACAGGAGCAGAGAGGTGATACAGAAGTTAGTGCTCTAACTGTCCAGAATAAGAAGAACAGCTGGCAAGCACTGCACTAATGCAAGTCGGAAGAAACATGAACAGGGTTGATAGAATCAATGTTGACAGACAAGGCTGGCGGATACTGATCAGTCTAGCCCAACAAGGGCACCAACAATAGGTTTAGGTTTAGACGACGGATCAACATCATGGCACAAGGATAGTAACCCATATCTGTTACGATCTACTTCTGACTCAAGCCTAAGTTTATAGAATCTCAGCGCAGTGCATGAACACTGTAGCACCGGCGAGGATCCTGAAATACTTTAGGTAGATTTTTAACTCCAAATTTGGCCAATGGAATTTTCTTACATGCACAGCAATACACAAGGGTGTCTGATCTTACTACCCGTAGACCAGGGGAAATTACTAGAAGTCCACGTAAGAAAATAACACCCTTCACTGGGCTTGAACCCGGGACCTCCAGCACTTGAGGCTGACACCATGCCTTGTGACCATGCAGCCCCAACAAAGACAGCCTACTTATAATAACAATTTACTTATTGTTCTCCCTCAATCTTTTATCTCCCAGTGGAGCAAACGCCCTAACCCAACTCATGCCAAGCGTTTAAAGGCCAGGAAATCTGCTTTAGATATGAAGAGACCCAGTGTCCATAACAAGCAACTTGTAAGAATCAACTAATTTAGGGTTTGTTTCCTTCAAAGTTAGAGTGGATCTGCATGAACTTGAGAGGCGAGGAACCAACAGTCTGCATACAAATAAGCCAGACCTGTAAAACAGATGTGCATGCAAAACTAAGGTTCTGGAACAATACTAAAGTCCAGAAGTGGTTGAACAACCAGAACTTTCCAGCAGAGTACACAGCTGGCCAGTGCAAAGAAGAAGAACAAGAAAAAAGTAGAGGAAAGATTTGTGTGTACTCGCAGAAGATTTACACTCAACTGGAGAATGCAAGGAAGAAGAAAAAAAAAGTGGTTCTCTTTCTGTTTCAAGTTGCTGCTCCCTATACAACTAGATCACATCCCTAGTGCTTACATGAATACACAAATACAAATCTATAAGGAGACGACAGAAGAGTGTGAAAAAAAAACACCTCAGAAAAGTACTCCATGTGTCCAGTAACAAAATAATGTACAATGTGCACAGCTACTCACTTTAAGGAGGGCTGAGTGGTGTAGCGGCTAGACGCTCACCTGTGGATCAGAAGGTTGTGAGTTCAGGTCCTGACGGAGTCAGACTTTTATTTAAAAAAAATGATCTTGGCTCCCAGGTCGACCCAGCCTTAAATGGGTAAACCAGTTACAGTTCTGGGAAGTAAAGGTGGCAGGCGTGATGTTAACTACATCACCCACCTATAAAATATAGGTCTAGCCCTGTATGCCCAATATGCCTGAAGGCATAGAAAAGGGTCCGTTACTTTAGTCATTTTAGGACATACAGCATACTATTTGACCAAATGCACTAATATTGCTATAGAAAATTACTAACCTCAGTTTCAAGCTTGTGAATCTTTCTGTGTCTGGTGAAATTTCCTATCCGGGTAAATGTGGCATTGCACAAATCACATTTAAATCCTTTCTTGTGAAGTTTTTCATGATTGACTAAATCATGTTTTATTTTAAATGTATCCTGACATTCCATACATTTAAACACATCACAGTTGTCTGTAGGTGACGTATCTGGGAGCCCCGGTTCTGATGTCTGAAGTTGAGTACTGCCACATTCTGTCAACTGATTCACAGCTGCCAGAATTGTGGGTGCAATCTTGCCATCTCCAGTTGGCTCTGCTATTGAAATAACAGCCGCCTGAGGTTGGCCTGGTTCCTTAGAATGACCAGTTATAACAATTACTGAAGGGATTAAAGGCGATTTTTCAGGTATGGGATTTGATAATCCCATACTGACCAACTCATGGACTAAACTTGTGTTACTATCTTGTTCAGCATCTACAAATTTAAACTGCAATGTATTTGTCCCAAACACTAGCTCCGTCTGAGTCTCTTTAACCTCCATGTTTCTGGAACGAGTTTCAGGAACAGTAGGATTGAAAACCAGGGGGTTAACATCCACACTGCTAAACAGCCCAAGCTGAACAAGCTGTGAAACATCCACTGGATCTGGAGAAACATACTTCACAGCAGCCAGATAGCCTTCATTAGTTACTACATACAGTGACTTATTCACATTATCATTCTGAAATGCTAAAACTGGTAGAGTTCCTGATGATTGGTTTGTTAATGAATTACCCAAAACTAATGGAGTTTGATGAATTATTGGTTCAACTGTCTGCAACTCTAGAGAGGAAGGACCACCAGAACTGCTGAATGAAGTGAAGCTGAAACCTTCTGATGACTTTTCATTAGAATGCACCTGCTTATCCTCACAGGCAAGGATTAAAGTGTCAGCACGGCAAAGCACTAAGCCTGAACCAGCTGAACTGCTGTCTTTGCTGACATTTAAAATAACAGTATCAGACCTAGACAGATCACTCTCATGATTCCTAATTACTGAAACTGCTTTAAATTGTGTTTCTATATCTGCGTCACTATTTCTTCCTTCTGCAATTGCTTCCAGACTATTAACAGGAAGACTACAGCACTGAACCTGATCAATACTGTCTTGTTCTGCTGTGGATGTGTTACCTCTATCCTTTACTAATGATGTTAATAAACAGATCTGCTGATGAGGAGACTTTGCATGCTGGAAACGTTTCACTAAATGCATAAGTGACTCTGGAATCCTGTTACTTCCCAAAACAGCTTTCTCACTTGTAGTGTAACTGTCAGTGATTGCTGAAATTATCTGTTCAGAAACAGCTTTACTGGAGGCAGACGTCTCCTCAGAATCTGATTTATACAGGCTAAAACTGCAAGCATGTTCCTGGTCAAGCTGGAACAAACCTGTTGATGGTATGCTCTCAAGAGAAACGGACCTGTCTGAGATGTTTGTAAGTAAGCTGAATGGCTTGTTTGTGTTTTGCAAAAGTCCCTTACCTTTTCTCATGGTTTTTTCAGCATCATTGTCATTTGAAATAAATAATGATGAAATAGGCAAACTATCAGATACATTCACAGATTCTGAGCTTAAAATGACTGTATCTGATGAAGCTAACTGGGCTCTATCACTTTCGGAATCTGAAACTTTGCCTGAAGTAACACATGTTTCATTTCTAACTTTAAATGTTTTATGAGTATGCAAACCCTGAAACAAGTCAGAAGCAGAAGATTCATTTAGAGGTGACGGAGAATGACTCTGTGACTGGCTCAGCTGGTTTGTGACTGAGACCTTGAGTGGTAAATTGTTCCCACATTTTCCATGAAGTACGTGATCTGCACTAAGTGAAGTTTGTGCTGGTTCCTGTTTATTCATGATGTTGTTCACATGTGTCCGTAAGCTGGCACCACTGATGTTGCCAATAACAATATTTTGGCAACCAAGCTGTTCTAGACTTATTACTGAGTCTGCTGGCTGAGTAATTATAGGTGCCGGAATTAAGTAAGTAGTGTCACTTCTGTTTGTTTCAGCCATTCTGGTGTATGTGGCAAACAGTTTATACTGGCAGCCTTATGGCTGTTATTGGCATTAAATCTGCACACCTTCCATGAAGTAATCAAACTAATATTCCCTAACAATACAGCCTGGCCAAGCTAATTATTCCTTTATTAGGCAAGCACATTTCAAGATGTTGAAGAGCTTATTTGTGTAGTGTTGCTACACATCCTGTCACAGTGTCAGGACTTGGTTTTCTTTCCTTTGTTTTTCTGGCAACACATACTATAGCGTGTAGATTAGTTGCCTTGAACACCAGTACAGGTCATAATACTGAACCTCGCTATGTGATTTGAAAAGCCAACTTATTGGTCTATCCGTGATAAACTGTTCATGTATTTATTTTACTGATCGATGGCATTTGGTGGCCCGCATAAGTCAGCTAGTTATGGCTGTTATTATTTGCTCACAGTTAAAATACTATCAGTGTCAGTCAGAAACTTGTTTGATGTTTACATTCAGCATGTTATTACTACCAAATCCTAGCCCTGTAAACCCACAGATGGGGTGTAAATTAACTGTGTTGCCTTCAACATTCTCGCAGTTTTATGTGTAACTCAGTTATATTATTACTACACAGTCAGGACCAGTGTTGCCACTTTTCTTTGACAAAAAATATCCAAAACGGTGTAAAAAAATATATCTAAAAAGATCTAAATCTGCGTGGAAAAGATCTAGAAAAAACATCCAAATTGAACAAGTCAAAAATTACATAGCTTTTGTTATGACTTACCCTACATAATCATGTCCTCACCTTCACTGATGTCTGCCTCATAAGATCCACAGGATAAACTTAGCTTGGATAATGAAGTTGAAGCTTCAGATCCAAAATGACCCTAGCATGCTTTAGCTGTTCAAATTTCTTTATAAGTGGAACAGTAGGCTTATTTTTCTAGTCTCATTAGGCCGAATTTTAATGGCACGATAGCATTTAAGAGGTCAAATTTCATCCTGTTTTTTAGGTTAGATTTGATATAATTCCTAGCACTGAAAACTCTTTCTACGTCAGCATTTGAGTGGGGTAGTATCATGGCAGACATGGCACTTTAAAGAGCTTACAGAATGGACTGTTTGATGAGGAATCTTTAAATTGTCTCACTTCACTCAAAACGCTTTAGTTTCTGTTTTGTTTGTCCAGTCAGCTAACTTTATTTTGGTTAACTGATATTCTGCTTCCACGACTCTATTATCAGTAGCCCATAAAAATTTCATAACTTTACAATATTTAGGTATGTCCTTTATTGGCTGAAGTATGTTGCTCATAGAAAAAAAGTGAAATATTTTTCAAAACTTCTAGATTTTCATGAAGTCTCTGCTTCAATAATTAGATAAGGAAATCTTGACAGCGTTTTCTTAAGTTGTTCTCTTCATTCTCTGTTAACAGTCCTTTTGTTTTTAAATCATCAATCTTTGATTCGATTTAATATCCAAGGTGTGGCTTAGGAGCCAAATAGCTCTCTATAGTGCAAGTGAGCAAATCAGCTTTAGAAGTTGGCAACACCAGTCTTTTACTGAGTGAAATAGCAAGGTGAGATCATCAAGTAATTTAACTTTATCAACAAGTTTAGATTCGAACAGTTTATTAACTTTTTGCACTCCCATTAGAATAGGTTTTAAAAAGAGAATGAATGACACATTTTTTTCATCACTGTACATTCCGTATAGTATTTCAGCTGTGTAGCACTTTTCACTTTGTCTTGTTATTTCAAAGTGTGTCTTCAACTTCAGCCATTGCTTCATAATTCTTTCAACAGCTGGTTAAATTGATAACCATCTAGTTTTGCAATCTGACAGAATTTTCGGTGGTATGAAAGAATCATTCAAGGCTATATATAATGTATTGTATTGCTGTTGTCTGACAAATGCTTTGGAAAACCAGTAAAGTGTTTCAGCAATAAGGTATTCCAAATTCCTTGGTAAATATTTAGATGAAGCATGTGATAATGCTAGCTGCAATGAATGACGCATACATTTTCTAAGTATTAATGATGGGTTAGCTTCCTTCAACTTGGCATAAACGCCATTGTTTATACCAACCATCACTGAGACATTATCAGTACCAATTACAGCCAAATTCTTCAAGCCTAAATGTTTGCTGATTAAAAGGTCCTTCAGTTCCTAAACTATACTTTCTACATCCCACTTTTCAAATTGAACTAGTCCAATATTTTTTACAAATCGAACAAATGGTCACAGTTTGAAATTGCGCAGTGACAAATTAAAAACATTGCGACTGATACTTCAACTTTTGATGATTCATTTATCTGTATAGTTCTGAAAACAGATGTCAGTGGTGTAATATCTTTAAATGAAACTGCAGTTTTATGCTTTTTTAGTCTCTGCATGACTCTTTGAGTTTTGTATTTTCGCTTCAATTTCACACTTGCAGTACTTACAACAAGCTTTGTCATATCCCCAGTTTTTAATTTTGTCATCATGCAACCACTCTTTCCACATTTTTTGCACATACTTTACTTTTGGCATGTTGAAAGGTTTTTTCAAAGTGAAAGCCACATAAGAAGGTGAGCAATTTTTTTTAAATCACATGAAAAAAAAACGCAAAGTCAGCACAGTGAGGATAGGGTTGAAACAAAGTTAGTATGACTGACTGACTGACTTTCTACCCCACTAGGACATCACACAAGCGATAAACACCCGATGACACAAAGTGCCACCATGTGGATAAGGATCGCCTTGGAGTGGTCCCAGAAACCGCGTTCAGACAATTGGCCATATTTATGGCCTGCCTATATTGCGGCCCCTGGCAAAAGCCAGAGTAGGGCTTCAAATAAAGAAAAATTTCATCCTAAAAAGGACGTAAATTAGATTTTACAAACAAAGTTAGTATGATTTACGCGCGTTTTTATTAATCAGTACCGGGGCTGCCAGATATTTTTGCGTTGACCCCAGTGAGAGTTCAAAGTTCAAGTAATGGCAGTTGTCACAATGTAAGTGCCAGACCAAAACAAAAATATTGTAGTGAATATTTTACACAGTAATTATTAAATTGACACTGAAAGAAAAAAATCTATAAAATATCTATCTCCATATAAAAATAATCTAGAAAAATATTTAGGATCTAGACGTGAAAAACAGTATCTAAATGCAATGAAAAAGATCTAAATTTGGATATAAAAGATCCAAAGTGGCAACACTGGTCAGGACAGTTGTGACATTTGTAGTACTCTAGACTCTACCAGTTAAAAATCAAGTGGTAGGGGATTAAAAACAGAAGTTAGTCGACAGATTATCCTCATTGCGCATCGAACCACATAAGTGCTCGGATCCCGACCTCAGTAAATCCTGCAGTTCTGTGTTGGTTTCTTATTCTTCTTTGGCTTCCTGCACTTTGCTCTTGTCTGGCCACACCCCTTTTAACATGTTCGTGCACTCTGGTCCTTGTTGCAGATTCACAGTCATCACTCTGTTCTCGCAAAAGTCTTACTTCTCGTCCGCCCTCCACGGTAGCTTTACCAGCAAGCCGATCAGCTTGCTCATTTGCTTGCACGCCTGGCACACATATGTGTCAGCCCCGACCGCTTCAGAGACTCTAGACACTGTCTTCAGATCTAGCCCCTCTCAATCTTCCTGAGCATACTCGTTGAGAGAAAATTAGAAAACCTCCATCCCCGTGTGGATTCCGGCTTTCCGTTGGCGCCCCCAGCAAGCAGGTCGTAATTGTCGACTAATTGAAAGCTTCTTTCGAAGTCGGAGCGCGTCTGCCTAACAGGAAAGGGACCAACTGTGCACCCAAATAAGTCAGATCTGTAAAACATATGTGCACACAGCACTCTGGTTTCATGCATACTAATCTAAGAAATGTAAGTTGAGGTAGCCATTTCCCTTCCTATGTCGTAGTCTCTCCTTGCCAGACAATTCCCATAAAACTGGAAATTAGCTGGGGCGCATTCCCATGAGACTGGGTCGATCCCCCTGGGGCCGTACTGGCCATAAATGAATCCTATTCTTTATGGGTATTGGCAACGACCGTGGTGTAGCGGCTAGTCGCTTGCATTCTGATCCCAAGGTAAGGTTGTGGATACAAATCGGCATGGTGTCGGATTTTGTTTTCAACAAACAAACAAAAATTATGACTTTGGCTCCAGGTCGACCCAGTCGTAAATGGGTCTCAGGTGAAGTCCTAGGAAGTAAAGGCGGTCATCGTAATTTTGACCATACTACTCATTGTTATTTTCAGGATCCTCACCGGTTTTTATAGAGTTCGTGCGCTGCGTTGAGAATCTTCGGACTCAGGCTTGAGTTAGAAGTATAACGGAACATTTATGGGCTACTACCCTTGTGCCATTATGTGGATCCGTTGTTTAAACCTAAAACCTAAACCTTAAAACCATTGAGGTATATTTAGCCTATACAAATGTGAGTCTTACCTCACATGTCCGACACGCCACTTACGTGTAAAGGGACCTTTACTTTACTTATCTATGGGGATTGATTTGAACCTGGACCATTGTCTCAACAGGCAAGCACGCTAAAAACTATGTCTTCGCTTCTTTTACTTTCTTGTGCAATTTATTTCCCGATGGAACATAGGTCCTCAACCATCTCACGTCAAGTTATCCTATTCTTTGCTATTGAATGCAGCCCCCCCCCCCCCCCCCCATATTCTCTCTGTCGTTTTAGCTTTAGTCTAGCTACATTGTCCGTGTGTTTTTCCCCTGCATTTATTTCTTCACTTTCCAGAGGAAGAATTAGATCCACTCAATAAATGAGCCACCATTTGCAGACGATTAATGCCTGTTCTACAATAAGGGACGTAGACTTAAAGAACAGGCTAAGTTCAGCATGCAGAAGATTAACATGAAAATAAAAACGACCAAAACTGAAGTCATGCATGTCAGCAGAACTCCTAGTCCCCTGCATATCGTGTTGAATGGCGCCTGTCTGAAGCAAGTTAAAGAATTTAAATAACTAGGAAGTATATACTCAGAGGAAGGAAGAATAGGTCGGGAAATAGAAAC